CATTCTATGCCTACCTACAATTAATTTACATTCAGTAAATGGTTAGACTTAGGAAAATGGTATATTTATATATACTACTGAAAATCAAAACAGCTCACTTACTGTTTTTCTGTTGTGGGCTGTCTGCAGTTACAAACTTCACTTCTGTCTTGGCTGTAGAGTGAAAACAGACAATAACAAAGATGCTTACATCAATATTAACTTGTAAGATTTATTTATCAGTCAATAGTAGAACAAGCCATGCATGGCACAGTCCCCGTTAGTTATCAAATTTAAGATATAAAGTTTTGTTTATAGTAATATAGCTGGAATATAAACATGTCAGGAATATGATGATTGTTTAACATTTAAATGATTGACATTTGTATCTGATCGTCAAACGAGTATTGAGAGATATGGCTCTAGAACAACATTAATTAAAACAAAATCTGCCATTATGAATATGTGTATAATGAATATATGAAATTTGAACATAGTCAGTCAAAGCATGTCAGAGATATGGCTCTAGAAGCCCATTCATTAAAACAAAATGGCCACTAGTCAGCCATTCAGAATCCGATCTAAAAAATAAAACAATTTTTTTAGCACAAAAATAGCCACCATTAGGCCACTTTAAAAATGATCGTCAAACCAATATATCCGTATATCTGTGACATGATGTGTAATGAATAATTAAAATTTGAACATAATCAGTCAAAACAAGTCAGACATATGGGTCTGGAAACCCATTCATTAAACCAAAATGGCCACCGAACAGCCATTTTGAGTCTGATCTGAAAAATAAAATGACGTGCATCAGTAACCCGTAATGTCTAATGTATGTACCAAGTTTGAACAAAATCCACCCATAAGTGCCAGAAATGCTTGATATTTGATGATTTTTTAGCACAAAAATGACAACCATTCGGCCATTTTGAATAGGATCGTCAAACCAATATATCTGTCTGTCAAGGTCCTATAATGTCCAACGTATATACAAGGTTTGAACAAAATCCATATGTAAACAGCCGGGAAATGCTTGATTTTGATGATTTTTAGCACAAAAATGGCCGCCATTCAGCCATCTTGAATCAGAACGTGAAACAAATTGACGTGCATATGTATGATATCATGTATGATGTATGTGTGAAGTTTGATTGTGATTGGTCCAGGCATTTCTAAGATACAGGTCCGGACGCACGCACAGACGCATGCATGCACGCACAGACACACGGAGGTCAAAACATAAGTCCCCGTTTTCGGACTTCGTCCGAACGGGGACTAATAAGTGGTTTCAAAAGATGCACAATTTGTCAAAATCATTGAAGCGACAGAAACATATTTTAATAATTAATTGAGTGCTGAACTGAATTGATGTCATTTTCTTGATTGTATCATAAGAAAAAACTTAAAATGTCAGGACATATTAATGTATGTCAGTCATATCTGTTAGAACCCCAAAATAGAAATTAAGATATGTCTGTGTCTAAATACAAGAAACTATATACAATAAACATACATTTTTTACGAGTATTCAGAAGTCACTTCAAATAAATGATGCCTTATTTATGCTGATTGAATTTGCAGCTGGTAATACAAGGTGGTATGCAGGGTTGACAACATTTTAAATAGAAAAAATAAGTTGTTAAACTGGATCTGATAACTACAATGACATGTCTTGTATTTCTACAGAATTTGAACAAAAAAATCAACTTTGACAAAATCTGTCATAAGCACATGCACAAATGAAACAGTATGGCTACCAGTCCGTCAAGAATAAAACTGTACAACAAATTAAAATGCAATAATAACCAACCATGAGCAATGTGCATACCAAGTTGCATGAATTTCCCTAAGGATGTCAGAGAACAGCTCAGTTCATGACAGTAAATAGCTGCCAGTCAATCAAATTTTACTGAATCTCAAAACAGATTGCAATGCAATTCTAATATTGTTATAACTTTAGCATGTTTGGGATATGCTATCAAATACATGTAGATTAATAGTTCCAATATATATTCATTTTTCATTTCACAAATACATTTGTAAACAGTTGTAGAAAAAGCAAGCATCTAAAGTTTAAAAAAAAAAATTGGAGTGCAACAAGTAGTTTAATAAATTACCGGGTATGTAATTTTATCCATTACTTCTCAATAAAGTCAACCAAATCATCTGTCCCTGTTATTAAACATTTTGAACTATGAAGTTGTCAAATAATCAAAATGAATATATTTGTGCTGCATGTGCTTGTATAGTGCTTGTAATATTGACTTATAAAGGTTAGAGCAATGTAAATTACAATTTTTCTTAATATTCATTTCATATTGGTTTATATGATTATTTGATTTTGTATGTGACAAGTTTGAATGAAATCGATCAATGCATGCACACCTAAAATTTGGTATCAGAATAGCAGGCATACTTAATTTTGGGTCATTTTACAACCAACATGGCCGTCAGGCAGCCATTCACATTTGTAACAAAAAACAAAAACAAATCATAATCCAGCCACAATAGAAAGCAAAATGTGTGGGTGTGCACAACTTTCATAACATGCAAATATTTTAAATTGTACCAGTATTAAAACTGAATGTAAATAATACTAGTACTTTTATTTTAGATATAAGCAAATTCGAATAAATGTATGCATGCTGATTGCATTCACAGCTGGTAGTACTAGCTGGTGGGCAGGGTTACACAGAAGAGCATCTCACAATTATGAAAGGTCAAAGCTTGTTCAACTATGATGAATTGAGCAAGCTGCAAAAGTTAATGTATAGTTTATTCTAAAATTAAACACAATAAGTTAAATTATGGTCCAGAAATGATCAATATCTGACTAAGTGAACATGTATATATGACAGAAATATATTACACAACAGTCATTCTTTAGTCAAAGAAACAGACACCTCCTCCAAGTGAGCCAGATTTGAAATTGTAACAACTACTTCATGTAACCACATTCAATTATATGATGCAAATGAACTAGTAGTACTATTTTTAACTTTCACCCTTCATATTTGTTACAATAATAATATCCTTATCAGACTTCAAATACTGGTAGACTTGCATATATTTAAAAAGATACATTGCTACTGTTGTGTTATATCATATGTGACTGACCCTATTGTATGAAAATAAATGTACAGTTATTCTTCTTTCAGCTTTTACAGGTATAGCATAAAGTACACCAATGTGTTCACAAACTGCATGTCCTCCATGTACTACTACCAGGGGAATGTGAATGTCATCAAAACATGATCAATGTAGGTCTCACTAATGAATGAAATAAACATATGTTCTAGATTTGCTAAAATCAACATCTTTTGTAGTTGGGAGAACTTTCCTGGCAGCCGTCTTGATTGATTATAGCCTACATGGTTTTCAACCTGTCAATGTCATACTATTTTTTTTTTCATGCTGTAATGTGCATATGCTGACAACAGGGTTGTTTCAGGTTTAAAATGCTTTTCACAGCTCAAATTATATTTTGTGTTTTCTTGATAAAAAAAATCCAGGTACCACAGAAAAAAAAATACCATTTTTCTACTGATTAGTTTCATTTTAGTACTGTTCAGAATCATGTCAAAATATCCATATGGGAATAACATTGTCGGCAATGCCAATTCACAGAATTCTATAGCATCTCTGTTCTCTAATTTTAGACAAATATTAAGCAGGAACTAAGTGATGAAATACATACGGAGTAGTATACAAGGGTGGTTTTAGCATTTATCATCACAATTCAACTCTGCATGGTTCTTGTGTGAATTGTGAATGTAGGTTTTTAATATGTCAATGATTTCCTGCCAAAATGATACAACTGAGATATTTAAAATATACATTGTATATGCATGGTAAAATGGACAACTTGTATGATTTGTTGTGCAAAAATGCAAATTAAATAATTAAAGCGGGGGAGTAGTCACCTGCGCATGCGTCAGATGGCGATAGCGCGTGTGCGCAAGTGATGACCCTCCCGCTTTAATATAGATGATTCAACAAATAATGGCTTATACAAACCCCCCCTCTCCCAAAACAAATCACATTGAAAATTTGAAAATTAGATATATTTTTACATACACAATGCAAATTACCCAGAAATACAGAAGCCAGGCCATCAAGAATGTGAAGATTCAAGAGGAAGCATTAACAAAGGCCTTACAATTCAGAATACAGCATGTATATTGAGTATGCAAGATCAATATAAATTAGCTAGTAAGACATAGTATGTCAGATTATCCCTTATGTGATCAAGTCAATGTAAAACTACATGGGGCTGACAAGATTAGAACTTAACAAGGATAATTAGTCAAGTGATTACCAATAATAAAGTGGAAGCATGTCCATTTGTTTCTGTATTACCTGACAAGCATATACAAGTTTATGAATCATGAAAGAAAAGTGGAAATTATCTATTATACAACGTATACAATTTGTCTGTGTTCCAAAATTAGAGTGAAGTATTGTTTGGTTACATTTTTAACGAGTAAATCATTTGTTCACATGATTCACATACACCCTTATTTGCATATTGAGTAACCAGGAGCCAACAAAATGTCAATCATCACTCAAGTCTCACAAATCAGGAAGTTCTTGTATGCATAAAATTAAATCTTTTAATTAATTCTCTGCTTTATATTTTGCTTGAATATACCACACAATGAGCGGTAAGTTTGACATTAGCAGGGGGGAAAATGTTTTTCATTTTGAATTCTGTTTTGAGAAATCAATTCTTCACCATTTGGTGGAAGTTTGTGGCCACGTCCGGCAAAGTACCACACATTCGTCTGCCGACGATCATTTGGGTACAAGAAAACATCTCAGTACCTGTGAATAATAATTTACTCAACATTGTTCAACTCAAACAGCGGAAAGTCTTCAGTATCAAAGTAATTTATATCTAATTTACCGAAACAACAATCTCAACACAACTACAATTATAATGGATTGAAAATTAACATTAAGAGCAAACAGAAATACAAGAGAAAATACTATGGCATTGAATCACTGGCCAGTTGACAAATATGGGCATGTAATTTATTAATTATTCAAGTGGGTGATCTTTGGTACTGACATCACTTCTTACATGATTTTTCAAAGGCTAAAAATTGCATTGAGATATGCAAATTTATAGTGAGTGGAACACAAATCTTATATAATAGCAAATGCTC